CACTGAAGTTTCTACACTTACAGAAATTTGAGGAACGAAATACTAGGCATAGCTCATTAACATGTTAACTGCACACTGAAGTTTCTACACTTACAGAAATATGAGGAACGAACTGCCAGGCATAGCTCATTAACATGTTAACTGCACACTGAAGTTTCTACACTTACAGACATCTGAGGAACGAACTGCTAGGCATAGCTCATTAACATGTTAACTGCACACTGAAGTTTCTACACTTACAGACATCTGAGGAACGAACTGCTAAGCATAATTCATCAACATGTCTCCGAAAAATCCTCTTCAAGACTTTAGTAATTTCATCTTTTAGATCCACTGCGATATCGGTGTTGTGGAATTCGGTTACGGCACTTTCATAACGATAGAAACAGATATTGGTAAATGAGTGCTGTTTGTAATCAAAATAAGTTTTCAACTCTTCATAACAATTGCACAGTCGCAGTAGTTAGCTTTCGACAGTTCTCAAAATAAACAACTGGCCATTAGTGATTAAAATGATAAATATATTCATCTCAAGAAAATGCAGTCAAATATTCAGTTTATGACTCTTATACATTAACTATACGAACAAAGAAAGAACCAAGTTGTCCAGATCAAAGTAGAGATATTTCATAGTAGCAAAATTATACACAAAATATGCAACTGTTAATATACGTAGAAAATACTCAATTTCTCGCTTACCTGGCACATGCTTTTCTTAGTATCTCAGTATCTTGAGAACTGAAATGTAATGTAAAACATATTCTTATTTGTTATCATCATAAATATGTATAACTTCAATTAACAGTGTATTTATTTATTTATTATCATTTTTCCATAGTTGCCAAGCAACCTGGTTTTCTCAGGTAAATACAATGAAAAGGACAATATTAATTATTAGTCTTCATTCAGGTTAGTACAGATTGTCATTCCAAACTTGTGTGACACTCTACCCAGCATGATTTGCGAAGAAGTTCACTGAGCCTAGAGAGGCTTAAACAATCGGGTATTAGATATTCAAAATCTACAAAACAACCCAAACAGTTTAAAGTGCTGTTGGAGAGAGACAAGTGTTCATTTGTTTGGATTGGGAAGACTAACAGAAATAATCTTTCTAACAAATTGTTCTCCGGTGGGACAGTGGTAAGTCTACGGACTTACAACGCTAAAATACGGGGTTCGATTTCCCGCGGTGGGCACAGCAGATAATCCAATGTAGCTTTGTTCTAAAAAAACAAACCAAATAGTCTCAGCAGATTTACAGTTACGTTACTGTAGTTAATATGGCTATGTGTGAAGGGGCACCATCATGATGTTCATGAATGTGGACACTTCAGAAAGATAGGATACAAAGATAGTACACCCTCATCAGGAGTGTTCGCCACCACTTTGTTTGACGTAAAGTCGTCGTCACTTGAATTCTGGACACTTTAAAAAGATAAGATGCACAGAAAGTACATCTTCATCAGAAGTGTTCGGTACCACTTTGTTTGATGTAAAGCCGTCGTCACTTGAATTCTGGACACTTTAGAAAGATAGGATGCATAGCTAGTACATCCTCATCAGGAGTGTTCGGTACTTTGATGTAAAGCCGTCGTCACTTGAATTCTAAAGTCGGTCGCTAATTTTGTGGTATAATGAGAATCGTATAACCAGTTTTGAAATGATGTCCGAATATTGGTTTGGAGGAGTTTTGTTTGTTTGTTGTTGAGCATAAAGTCACGCAATAAACTGCTTGTGCTCTGCTTTCTGTGGCTATCGAAACCCGATTTTTAGCGTTATAAGCCCCCAGACTTACCGCTGAGCCATCTGGTGGTAGGTCGGAAAAACGTGCAAGCGAACAATGCGACTGTGAATCTTCTAATTGGATGGTACGGTTAGAGCTCAATCATTCGCATTGTATGTAAGATCGAAACGTAAAATATCTGGAAACTTAAATGATCTCTGGTCATAAACGTACATGTTCCAAGGACCATGCTGAAGATCTTGGGTTATCAGACCGATACTTTGATACAGCAGAATAATGCTCCTTATCACAAGACCTTGGACTAAGCGCTAGTGTTGCTTAAGTCCTGCTCTCCACATGGTTCGGCGATAAGCTTGAGGGCTCATGAGGCTAAAAATATGGATTCGCTACCCACAATGCATGCAGCTGAAAATGTTTGTTGTTAGGCACAAAGATACACAATGGGCTATCTGTGTTCTGCCCACCACGGGTATCGAAACCCGATTTTTAGCGTTATAAGTCAGCGGACATTCCGCTGTGGCACACAGCTCAAACAAAGCTTACTCTAGACCAAAGAACTTCGTGTCCAAAGATTCAACAAATTGGTAAAATAATACATACCATCAACATATTATGATAATGAATAATGTTCTATGGTGAAAACAAATTACATCTAAGGCTTTGTTTGAAATTAATCTGTCATTATCAGTTATTTGATTTGGTAAAAGGTTAATATGTCTGCAAAAAAAGAAAAGAAATCTACACATAAGATGTGAAAAAAGTTCTATTAAAAACTCTCAATACATGTTGATGCATTTATCAATTTCCAATACTCGCATCATGGTTAAAATGTTATTTTTAAAATCTCTTCAGTATGTAAAGTATCACCACACAAAATACTGAATATTGATACATTTTAGAGGTAAAATCAATTCGGAAAGGAAAGTGAGGGTTAACTACCTGATGGCCTTTTGGATATCACCAATGCATTGCCTTAAAATCGGATGACTCGCTAAATGACGATTATATGCGGCAGTAGACAATACAAAACCCTCAGGAACCTGGAACTAAATAAAAAATACAGAATTAAGCGATTTCTTGACACAAAATCCCCTGCTCTAAATCAAGTAGACAAAAATGTATCGAATAAAAATATCAAAAAATTTAGTTCCAACGTAAACTTTATTTATTATTATTACAGTCTCCTGATGGGTCAACGGTAAGTTTACGGACTTACAACACGAAAGATTCGGGGCTCAGTTCCCCGCGGTGTACAGTGCAGCTAGCCCAATGTGTAGCTTTGGACTAAGAATATAAAAATAATTTAATAAACAAACCCTTGGGTGATACTGTAACTCAATAAATCGAAAACTATGTGTTATCCGATGGTGTTGCCTTTATTTATACTTTTCTACATAATATTTCGGGTTTAGATAGCCTGGTAGTTAGGGCGCTCGACTCGCAATCTGTGGGTTCGAATCCCTGTCAACCGTGGGGGTGTTATGATGTGACGATCATTCCCATTATTCGTTGGTAAAAGGGTAACCCAAGAATTGGCGGTGGGTGATGTTTACTATCACTGCTAAATTAGGGACGGCTAGCGCAGATAGGCTTCGCGTAGCTGCGAGTGAAATTCAAAACAACCCAAAGTCTAATATTTCATGAAGAAGATATGTCAAAATTTTAATATATCTTTTATTTTTTTTGTGTGGAAGCAGTGTACAAAAGAAATGTGCATAAAAATACATATACGCTTACAGCTACCCATCACTTGTATATTTCCATCAGGATGTCTAAGGTCCACCACTTGGTGATATTGTTAACCACTTGAGTGTTAAGGATGCCTGATAAAGAGCAAGTCTAAATTACTAAAGGAGCGACTAATCAGCGAGTGTTCAATAATTCTGTTGAATAGTATAAAATATCTGTGCATCAAAAGCCTGTTGAATCATCCCTGTGTTGATTATTTGTTCTCGTATCTAATACAATTTATCAAACCATTATATATGTTGATTTAACTGACAAAAACTGATCTTGAAATTAAACAGATCTCGAGATATGAATAACAATAAATTTATCTCATTAATACAGCTCTATTTAGTACGAAATCTGAGAAGTATTTCTAGAGCCTTGAATGCTTTCTTTCTTTTTGGATGTTGTTGAACAACAGTAGGAACCAAAGTTTGCTGCAAATATTAATTGGAGTTGGTAAAATACTTTACTTATATGGTATAATGCATAGTAGGCGATAATACCTCTTCATAGTGTGCGTGTCCACAAGACCTAAACCTCCGCCCTTAAGTTGTCATCAGTCGATTTTCCAAACACCTCAGTTGCGGTTGTGGTTTCAGTTTCAAACAATAATGGCAATACATTTTTGCATAATATCAGTTTCCTTCCTATGTTCATAGTATTGGATTGAGCAAAATATTTAAAAGCTGACATAATCTAGATTTAAAACACTAACCTGCAAGCATTCTTCTTTAAGCTGCATCAAACATGCCACCGATGTTCCTTTTCCTCCAGCTACTGAAATGTTTTGACATAGCTTGTCTGTGAGATCTAACACTAAAGGCATTTTCTTGCTCTGGATAATATCTGGAAATGAATGAAATGGTAAGAGTAACAGAATAATTTAACAACAACAACAAAAAACTTCAATACTTTACTCTTACTACACAGCAGAGCCAGGAGTAGCCTACTTAGCGTGCTGGACTGAGAATTGAAGGTCTAAGGTTCACGACTCGACTCTGCTAAATACGTTCTGCACTTTCAGTTATGAGCCCCCCCCCCCAGTGGCACAGCAGTATGTTTGCGGACTTTCAACGCCTGAAATCGGGTTTCGATACCCGTGGTGGGCAGAGCGCAGATAGCCCATTGTGTAGCTTTGTGCTTAATTCCAAACGAACAAATCAGCTGTGACTGTGTTCTTCGGTTCATATCCTGGCAACGCCCTAGTGGTGACAGGCTGCATTTCCCTTGATGAGTAACTCAAAATTAAGAATGGCTATATCTGAACCTAGGAGGCCTCTCGAGTTCTTCAGATTAGCACATTTTTTTAATATGATGTCGTTCAAGTTAAACATACCAAATACTATAACATACTTTCATTCCAGCACGACAGTAGCGAGTGGTTCTAGCTTCCTAGGTCAAGATTTCCCAAACCGTGGATCAGGGTCACAAATTCCATTTTTACAATAAACAGAAAGTCACTTAATCTTTACATTAAACGTAAATTTTATTATGATAGCCCATCAGTCTTCACACACAAGCGACTACAGTATTACGCACTGAAGCAGACACAACCATCCCATTAATAACAGTTAAGTTACCTTTAATGTCTTAATAATTTTGGTATAATATATTATACTAATAACTTGCGATCAAAGTAAATTATGAACTTAAAGCGAAACTAAATAGCAATCTGACCATCGGTACAGTTAATTAAACGTACGTTTCTTACTTATAAATGACCCCTCAAACTGAAAAACAAACGAATTACAAACCAACTGAAAAATCGACCTGGAGTGAAACATTGGCCACCTACCGACAAATACGATACAGACAATATTTTGGTCCCACATTTTTTATTGTTATAACACAGATGCCATAAATCAAAGTGTAATGGTCTTCACATCCCCCTCTATGTTATTTCGGTTTTAAAAGTAATCGTGTTCCGGGATAAATACATCCTGCTTCTCAGGTTTCTGCATACGCTTGACAACAACAATAACTTGCTTAACATCAATTATGTTGCTGCTGACAAACTGTACAATGTAAAACCATAAGTGGGCTAACTATTTGAGAACTGCAAGAAGTACACACATCATTCAAGAATATTTTCACTAATGAGTTACTTATGAAATTAAAAGATTCACTTCTTTTCATACGATATATCCCATTGAAAAAAAAACACAACAACAATCAGTTATATTTATCAAAGAAGCTGAAAGAAGAATGTTTGGATGATGGGGATCCTCATCCTTCCATTTTCTTAGCTGTTAGCTTTTAAATGTAAAGGGAGTGAAGATGCACATGTGCTAACTACCATTCATAATGAAAGTACAAGAAGAGTCATCAGGAGAAAGTGAAGCGGCCACCGAATTGACAAACCAGTAGGACCTTGTGACTACAACCATTAATTGGATGGCTTTGATCACACTGATACAGCTACAACAGGTTTGAAGAAAACGTATGAAGTGGTAAAAGAAGTTAGCAATACTAAACAGTTTCATTATATACCAGAAAGCTGGAGGCAACAAGAATTTTCTGAAATTCCAAAAATGATGGGTTTTACGGAATTGTTATTTGAAGAACAAGAAATGCATGTAGTTAATGTACATATAGAAAATTTGATGAGACTGAAAGATAGATTTTTATAGCACCATTACCTCAAACAGAAGACAAAGAAGAGGGGTTGTATCTGTTTCAAGAAAAACAAAGTGACTATTACTGCCTTAAGTATCAGGGGAAAGAGACCCAAAAATAAAGGGGGAGGGGAATATCGTGATAAGAAAAATTAGGGAAACCATGTTTTACCATACATAAACTAAACATATTTATATAAACTCATTAGAATATTCGTATGCAAAAGAGAATTATTCTTTTATGTTTTTTCTGTATTTATGTAAACTGATTTATTTCAGTCTAATAGAGTTAATGATAAATTGTATTATTAGCTCATCAAAATTATTTTACGAATAATAACATTTCACAAAATTATGTATTTCTTAAAATATTATAAACAAGAGTTTATTAGGTTCAAGCTATTTAATAGAAAATAATTTAGGATTGTCAGGTTATTTTTGTTTGAATACTTTTGAGACTCATAACGTAGTTTAAAAAATGATGACAAGAAAGTTGAAAAATACATTTAATTTTCTAGATTATTTTTGTTTGAATATTTTTAGCCTCATAATGTAGCTTAGAAAATGACACCAAAATGTTGAAAACAAATTATTGTTCTTAGGCTATTTCTGTTTGAATATATATTTTTAGGTGATAATGTAGCTTAGAAAATGAAAAAAAATTTTCTTAAAAATAAATTATTGTTCTTAGGCTATTTCTGTTTAAATATTTGAGGTGATAATGTAGCTTAGAAAATGAAGAAAACATAAAATAAATTATTGTTCTTAGGCTTTTCTGTTTGAATATTTGAAGTGATAATGTAGCTTATAAAATGAAGAAAATTTCTTAAAAATAAATTATTGTTCTTATGCTATTTCTGTTTAAATAATTTTTGAGGTGATAATGTAGCTTAGAAAATGACGAAAAATTTTCTTAAAGATAAATTATTGTTCTTAGGCTATTTATGTTTAAATATTTTGTAGGTGATAATGTAGCTTAGAAAATAGAGAAAAATACTTAAAAATAAATTATTGTTCTTAGGCTATTTCTGTTTGAATATTTTTGAGGTGATAATGTAGCTTAGAAAATGACGAAAAATGTTCTTAAAAATAAATTATTGTTCTTAGGCTATTTCTGTTTAAATATTTTTGAGGTGATAATGTAGCTTAGAAAATGACGAAAAATGTTCTTAAAAATAAATTATTGTTCTTAGGCTATTTCTGTTTAAATATTTTTGAGGTGATAATGTAGCTTAGAAAATGACGAAAAATTTCTTAAAGAATAAATTATTGTTCTTAGGCTATTTATGTTTAAATATTTTTGAGGTGATAATGTAGCTTAGAAAATGAAGAAAAAATTTCTTAAAGATAAATTATTGTTCTTAGGCTATTTCTGTTTGAATATTTTTGAGGTGATAATGTAGCTTAGAAAATGACAAAATATTAAAAAAAATCTTAGACTATTTCTGTTTGAATATTTTTGAGACTCATAAAATAGTTTAGAAACTGACAATAAAATTAAATACAGTGAGTCTGTCACATCTTAAGTTTGTCTTCATAAAAAACTTTCAGTGGAGAATTGGAATCGAAAATCAACGAACTAATAGTGTTGGTAAACTTTGTGTATTTTGCGCTATTGTTTTTTGATATCCTCCCAAAAATGTCGAAAATGTATTACGTAAAAACAAAAGTATTCCAATAATGATGTTGTTTATATTTGAGGTAAATTAATCTTTATATGTATATAAAAGATTAAGGCTTTTTAAATAATATAACGAATCTTCGTTCGACTTTTGGTTCTAATGTCTACCATATTTTATGTTTTCGTTACTGAAATTGTCTATTCTAACAATGATGCTATTTCAGTTATTAACAGAGTAGCATAAAATAAAGAAGCTCTTACCTGATTCCATTAAGAAACGTTTTTTCATGCTCGTTGTTTCTCTTTTTGGTGTTTCGTTTCTAATAAAAGAAAAAGTTCTAAAATTCTAGATTGGTGTTTCGTTTCTATTAAAAAAAAGTTCTAAATTTCGTTTCTAATAAAAGAAAAAGTTCTAAAATTCTAGATTGATGTTCGTTACTATTAAAAGAAAAAGTTCTAAAATTCTAGATTGGTGTTCGTTACTATTAAAAGAAAAAGTTCTAAAATTCTAGATTGGTGTTTCGTTTTTATTAAAAGAAAAGTTCTAAAATTCAAGATTGGTGTTCGTTTCTATTAAAAGAAAAAGTTCTAAAATTCTAGATTGGTATTCGTTTCTGTTAAAAGAAAAAGTTCTAAAATTCTAGATTGGTGTTTCGTTTCTATTAAAAGAAAAAGTTCTAAAATTCTAGATTGGTGTTCGTTACTATTAAAAGAAAAAGTTCTAAAATTCTAGATTGGTGTTCGTTTCTATTAAAAGAAAAAGTTCTAAAATTCTAGATTGGTGTTCGTTTCTATTAAAAGAAAAAGTTCTAAAATTCTAGATTAGTGTTTCGTTTCTATTAAAAGAAAACTAGATTGGTGTTTCGTTTCTATAAAAAGAAAAAGTTATAAAAAATCTAGAAACGTTGCTGGAAATCCATCTTTTGCTCAATTAAAGATATATAATCACAACTATACATAACATACCTTTGTCCAAGCTGCACGATGCCCTGACCGGTTTGACCATCTATTGATAAAACTGCTGATCTTAAAAATTGGCAATACTCCCACTGAGGACCATTGAATTCTTTGAGACTCATATCTCCTGGTTTCACTTTTATCTGGTACCGTTTCCCATCTGAAAATAGCGATCGGTAATCTAATAATAGTCACTGTTTAAATTGTTTTAGATCTCAACTTCTTTCTTGGCGAACAGACACTTGATAACTGTAACAACAAGTTTCATACAATAATATTAACCTATTAAATATATTAATATTGGAGCAAGTAACGTCTGAACTCAGAAAACACTGGAATAAAGACTACGTTTTAAAGCACATTACACACTGCGGACTAACTAGCTAGAAACAGCTATCGACCAAATCTGCACTAGTTTAGAATTAGTTGTTTAGATTAGAACAAAAAAGCAATACATATTATATTTTATCCATAGTAATAATATTTAATATTAACAACGTATAACCATTTGCTCGCGCTATTAATCAAATATATTGTTCTTAACCTAATATTGCCTTACCTGCACAACAATTAACAATCCATTGTTGACTGAACTCAGCAGACGATGGAAGAGAAAGATCACAGTCTTCTAGAGGGCACACTTTTCGGCTTGGAAGTACAATATAGCCGCAATGGATACTGTGACATTAGAATAATTTCAATACCTAACATTTTAAAAGTTTTAATATAACGTTTGATAAACCTCTGCATTTCTAATATATGTAGAATAATTCAAATAATTCCTATTTATAATAGATTCTAGAGCAATACATGATTTTGTGCGATAATTATTAAAACCTTTTTTATCACTTATCAACAATCACTTTGTTTTATTCAGTTTGATAAAATTTATGAACCTTTCTCATAATGAAAATAAATTACTTACCTCAATATAACCCAGCTATTAAATTTGTTGGTATATATACTCTCTTAGCCCCCCCAGTGACACAGCGGTATGTCTGCGGACTTACAACGCTAGAAACCGGGTTTCGATACCCGTGATGGGCAGAGCACAGATAGCCCTTGTGTAGCTTTGTGCGTAATTAAAAACAAACAAACAAACAATATATACTCTCCATAAATATGAAAGTAATCATGAAACTTAATTAATCGTGCAGCAATCAATAATGAAACTGGACTTTTAATGAAGAACTTTGCTACTCTTCTTAAAGTCTGCTGTGACAGGTAAGACCCTGGTTTCCAACAACCTGGTGTGAAATAAAAACCTCTGGTGGTTTCCAACTACCTGGTGTGAAATGAAAGCCTCTGGTGGTTTCTGACAATATTGTGTGAAATACACGCCCTTGGTGGTTTTTTTGTCAGAAACCGTACGGGACTTGCATTTTACACAAGGTTGTCAGAATCCAGCAGGGGTTTGCATTTCACACAAGGTTGTCTAGCATGAAATGGAAATCGTGGATGGTTTCTCCAGACGAGTAAAAAGAAATTAAGGTTTTGAAATAGCTTTTGTTGTAGCTTATTTATTACTTAGTTTTAGATTTTTGATTTAAATCAGGCTGGGTTTTTCCCTATATTTTCTGTACTCTAATAATGAATTGATCTTATTCCATGCTATAGTACTTGCTTAGTCATTTTTATTTGTTCGAGTTTTTTTTTTTTACAATTTTTGTTATGTTGGCTGAGGTTTTTAGATTTGGTGGATAGTGAATTAGATTGTATTTTGTGCTTTGTTACATCATTTAAAGATTGCATCTCTTGTTTTTCTTTGTTGATTTAACGCAAGTTTGTTTCAAACAAGTTTTACACGTCGTAGTTTCTTGTTCGTTGAAATGTAATCCCATACTCAAATATATAACATAAAGTGCTGTGGTCACGATTTGTGAATAACGTAAAGTTTCGTATTCACTTTCTCTGTTTCATCTTATAATCATTTCTTGTCAGTTCTTTGTTTCTTAATGTTTGGAGTTTTTTTTTTACCTGAAGATTTTAGTTCATTTGTACAAACTACAACTTGTACGTTTATTATAATTCTTCAGTAACAAGTATGAGCTTGAAATAAGCCACAGCAGTTTTGATTATGACCTACTAAATCTATAAAGAGGAAAAACCCCTAAATGATCAAGATTCGAGTATATTAGTAAAATCCTCACCACTAAGAATATTCCACCAGACAATTTGTGGACTTCAAACTTTTGGACAGGCCTTAGAGAAGTCCTATGAAAGTAAAGAGTAGACCACTTGATCAAAATCAAATCTACCTCTAGAGAGTACTTCAAGAGTCTGCAATTAAATCTTAAGACTTTTCTCGAATAGGTACATATACATATGTACATAGGTACAAAAAAACTCGAATAGGTACATATACAGGTACCTATCAGATCTTTCCAAAGTCACTTAAACCTATCAAAAAGGTTTAATGTCGCAAGGATATTGGAAACTTGTCAAGATAAGAATTGTTGAAAACTTATCTGCAGGTCTACCTAGAATTCATGCTGTTGAATCGGATCCAAACCTAACACCTTAACCTTTTTAAAGCATCTCCAGCATAAGTGGCATAGCCCTATGCTGCTTCAACTAATGTATGGACTGTCTTTTGGTTGCTAAATAGAATATTTTTGTTTCCAGTATAAAAATATGTATAATTGTGAGAATAAAATATGATTATTATATATATATATATTTAATGTTCTTTATTTTTGATGATTTAGTTCAGGTCTCTTCTTTTGCTTTCCACTGTACTGAAAGAGAATATTTTGAATCATGATTCAGTTGCTATTGAAGTGCTATAATTATATCTGGCGTGTTTTAGGGATACCACTTAATAACGTGTAAAGTTTAATATCTATAATTTTCGCTCGTATATCTTCAATTCCTATCTTTGTTTTCAATTACTCACAGTATTGTCTAGTGAGTAAATTTTCACTTAAGTGTAGAAGAGTGCGTGATTATCTATGCCTATTCAATAGGTAAATTAAAGGTTTTATGTATTAGACATGTTTGACAGAGTGCCTACGTTTTGTTTTTCATGTTCCAGGTATTGATGTTGCATACTTATGATTCGTATTTCGGTCATTTGAATGTGAACAAACGTGTTCATGAGACAAAAAAGGTGAAAAAATGTATTAATAAGAAATGATAATGTGAACATGTGTGTTCATCAGAGATGATAATGTGAACATGTGTGTTCATCAGAGATGATAATGTGAACATATGTGTTCATCAGAGATGATAATGTGAACATGTGTGTTCATCAGAGATGATAATGTGAACATATGTGTTCATCAGAGATGATAATGTGAACATGTGTGTTCATCAGAGATGATAATGTGAACATGTGTGTTTATCAGAGATGATAATGTGAATATGTATGTTCATCAGAGATGATAATGTGAACATATGTGTTCATCAGAGATGATAATGTGAACATGTGTGTTCATCAGAGATGATAATGTGAACATGTGTGTTCATCAGAGAGAGAGAGGGGGAATTAGGGATTTAAACACGAATATAAGTTGAATAAAAATGTGTTATTTCCATTAGCTTTAACAGAATCATCTGTGAGTATTAAATAAGAGCCACTAAACAAAGACAACTTTAATGAATTTATTAATATCACTTGGATACAGATGTCAAGACCTGGTATGTGCTTATGCATGAAGGTATCTTTCCTGCAACGCCTAGTCGGTCATAGAACTGATATTAAAGCTAATATCCCACATCTCAAACTAAATATAACAGAATTTGTGTACAATTATTTTTTGTGTTTTAAGTTTCAAACCTATAATAAGTTTTGTGTGTTTTGGTTCTTTAGTACTACTTGTTTAGTGCTAGTTATTTCTCCTTGAGCTATCGCTCTCAACCTTCTGCTTGTCGCCGTATTATAATGTTTAGTACTAGTTATTTCTCCTTGAACTATCTATCTCAACCTTTTGCTTGTCGCCAGTATTATAATGTTTAGTACTAGTTATTTCTCCTTGAGCTATCTATCTCAACTTTCTGCTTGTCGCCAGTATTATAATGTTTAGTACTAGTTATTTCTACTTGCGCTATCTATGTACTAAACATTATAATACTGGCGACAAGCAGAAAGTTGAGAAGTTATTTCTACTTGCGCTATCTATCTAAATCCTTCTGCTTGTCGCCAGTATTATAATGTTTAGTACTAGTTATTTCTCCTTGAGCTATCTATCTCAATCTTCTGCTTGTCGCCGGTATTACAAGTTATACTGAAGTGTACGTTTTCATTTCGCTGAATGGTTAGATATTTCAGGTTTTTACTGAAAACGAATAGTAAAATTATTATACTACAATTAGCTTAGTGGTGGTTAGCCTGGGGTAATAATTTTGTACAATTATAATTTATTGTGCTAATTTTGTTTATTTATATCCAGTCTGGACTTATTAATGAAATTAAACATTTGATGTAATGTTTTGTTGGGGTAAAGTCTGTGAGTAACCGTACTTCTGTTTGCTGTTTTTATTCTCAAAGTCTGTGGACCAATAAGGCATACTGTCATTATATATGAACCAATAAGAATTTTTTGAGCTATAAGAACTGCAGCAGGCGAAACATGTGAACAAAATGTGAGTGACAAGAAAAAAAAGAGCTATTTGTGAGAAAATACAGTGGAAATATGTATTTGATCATTTAAGAGATTTGAGCTTTTGATACAACCCAATGCAATGATTGTTTTGTCACGGTAGTAAGTTTGTTTAGTTTACTTAGTTTCTAGAGTTTGAATCAATTTTAACTTTGCACATTTTAGTGTAGCTTCATGATTGTTTTTTTATTTTAACTAATTATGAAACGGAATTTGTTTATCTTTCTTACTTTATTATATCCAGTTTTTTTAAGTTAATGGCGTGTATTAAATAAACTGAATTTGTTAACTGAAGGTTTAATTACGTAAGTTGCGTCCTTTATAATAACTGTACCGAAAGAAGCTCGAGTACTTACTGAGTAGATAGTCCAGGAATCGGGAGAAGGCCTACATTAAACACCATACCATCCTGTAGAACGAAATAAGCAATACTTTAGAAGTACATATTTAGAACCAGATGCTACTTCGCAATAAAAGTACCTGTAGCTATCCATATCAAATTGATATCGAAGTATTCTTGATTATATCATTACACGTGATTTTTACTGACATTTAATTGGCAATACTCCTTTTGTGTTCATAATTAAAAGGAAAGTTGATATTTACTGTTTCTTCTGAGAAACGTTGTAACATATAAAAACGTGCAATCACAGAGGACTATAAATATCCGTATGAGGGATGTTTAAGGTTCTAAATGTTGAGAAACAGGGTAAGTTACTGGTATACAATTCTTGTCTCGATTTGAAAATATTTCGTCAAGGTATTCCGTAATAATCACCTGACATTCGTAACACGTGAAAACGTAACTGTAGCTTAAATTATATACATTAATGGTCAAACTTTTAAATCAAATTATGAATTTTTGGGATTAAAAGACATTCAAAATCGAAAAAAAACTTCTGTTTGTCAGAGGGCGTTATGGTCGACATATGTTAGAACTGGCTCGACATAGAACATAACTAGAGGGACACTCATTACAGCACATACCATCGTCACGCAGCGTTGATCATATTCGACGCTCAAAAAATACGAAAACGTATACGTATGTCCGTCGTTATTTTTTGGAAGGACAATAAGGAATGATATTCTACAGATTTCCACCAAGTTTCATCAAAATTCGATCATTTTTGACTGAGTTATAGACTAAATATATTGTGAAAATCGGACCCATTTTGACAGATCGGAAATTTTTTTCTCGTGACCTTGCTATGACCTTGATCCTCCAAAAACTAATAACTTCTAAGTTGGGTCATGTTCCAAATATATACCGACTTTCGTCCAAATCCATTCAATTGATTTTGAGAAATCTTGCTGACAAACACACAAACAGACACAGGGGTGAAACATAACCTCCATCCACCTTCGCTGGCGGAGGTAATTATAAAGTTTAACCGTAAGTATACTGAAAAATAAATATTTTCCTTAAACTTCTGTGACCAACTCCTTCCTAGCTTGTGTCTCTTGCATGATGTAACAGTATGTTTATCAACTGTTTCGTCCTTTAAGTCTGATTTCCTAACCAATATCTATAATAGTGTGTTTATTAACTGTTTCGTCCTTTAAGTCTGACTTCCTAACCAATATCTATAACAGTGTGTTTATCAACTGTTTCGTCCTTTAAGTCTGATTTCCTAACCAATATCTATAACAGTGTGTTTATTAACTGTTTCGTCCTTTAAGTCTGACTTCCTAACCAATATCTATAACAGTGTGTTTATCAACTGTTTCGTCTATTAAGTCTGACTTCCTAACCAATATCTATAACAGTGTGTTTATTAACTGTTTCGTCCTTTAAGTCTGACTTCCTAACCAATATCTATAACAGTGTGTTTATCAACTGTTTCGTCCTTTAAGTGTGACTTTCTAACCAATATCTATAACAGTGTGTTTATTAACTGTTTTGTCCTTTAAGTCTGACTTCCTAACCAATATCTATAACAGTGTGTTTATCAACTGTTTCGTCCTTTAAGTGTGTTATAGATATTGGTTAGGAAGTCAGACTTAAAGGACGAAACAGTTGATAAACACACTGTTATAGATATTGGTTAGGAAGTCATTGAAATTGTTTAAACAAAACGTTGGCTACATTTTCACACTATTTTAACTAGTTCAAGCACTGTTCCACTTTATTATTACATTATGTTGCTGAGTATCTCTACCTCCGTGTGGTCCATTAATATTAAATTCTGGTTAACAACACGCTACTTACAGAACTAAAAATACATCCTGTATCGAGCACAACTAGTTGCATATATTGTACAAACTATCTTGCTTATAATGATTAAAATGTATTGGATCGATACCATCATGACATGAATTACAGTGTATTGCTTTTAAGAAAGTAGTAAACGAGAAGAATTTTGATTGAAAGCTTTACCTCCATATATCCGTACATACGTAAGTATCGGTCATATTGTGTCCAGTCTTCTATGCCTGTAAAATGAAATGAACAAGGTTACCATGCTGAAACATTTGTGTGTGCTGTTCATTACGTTACCAAAGAATACATCGACGACAAATAACAAGTAATGAATCTGAAATACTGAAACTAAGTAGTTTTACTCAAGTGATATATTATACTAACAGAAACGCCCCCTATGGGCAGCTGTTCGGTCAGGATCTTGGCGAGCTCAACGGTGTGTTTCTCTGTTACCAAACTGCTCCTGACTTCTTCTAACTGTATCTTGGCGATCAATTTGATGAGCTTCTGTATTTCTGGTTTGTTCGTGGCTTCTTATCACTGGATCTTACCTCATAACTTGGTGAACAAGCCTACCTCTTTCTTTCTGTAACTTGCATTCTGACGTTTCATTTTCCTTCTCAAAGTTTCAGACTTTCTCAGTGATAAGTCACATTTCCATTTGACAATTTTTGGCATCGTGATTTTCTGTTTTTTATCACTTTATACTCATAAGTAAATAAATACTTGTGTAACTTACGAAGATCGAGTTACTACAACATTCCCGCAAATTTGTAGGCAACGAACTCCGTACACAGAACAATTCAGTTCATAGCGTACGTTTGTATTCTCCAGCAGAAACATTCTTTTCATCTGAAATTTTACAACGATTCTCTACTAGGAAGACTCACCTTGAAATTCTACATTAAACTCACATTACTACAATTTTTGAAGTTTTATTAAAAAAACTTAGTTTCGTTGCTAACAATAATAATAATTGTAGAAAATTAATGAACATTATTAAAATGTAAAGAAGTACCATTTCTCCATTAAGGAAGATATTTTGGAAATAAAATAAGGTCCTTAATGATGAGAAACCCACTTGAAGTAAAAATGTATAGCAGAGACGGCTGGTATTAAAAACGTTAATTAAAATAAAGTATAAGAACAACGTCTTTGTTATTCTTTGCTAGATTGTTTAGGCAGAGTATTCATGATGAAACTTTGTAGAATGAACGGCAACTGCCTGAAGACGAAAGGCGGAAGACTTTTGAAACGGGGTCCTCTACGCTTGTGTCTCTACAACAGGCAGTCGCCGTCCATTCTACAAAGTTTCAACGTCTTTGTTAACCTGAAGATGACATAAGAAGGTCGAAACGTGGTTCTTATAATTTATTTTTTATTACAATTTTTAATACCTATACCAGCCGTCTCTACTTTACAAAATAAGGTCCTATTATTTGTTTAATTTTAGTGAGGGTCTATTTTATAACATATTTCATTTTGATGCGATATATAGCCGTTATTGACTTATTGTTTAATAAAATAGTCGACATATTCATTAAACAAACTTTTTCTATAAGAAATCCATTTGTAATAAAACTTTGTTCGGAACTTCTCCTTATGATGTTGAAAAATCATGAGAATTTCATTCAAATCGGACTTAAGCTGTGGGAGGAGTTTTGCGGACAGACGGACATTAGCCTTATATATATATATATTTGCAATAATAAAATAAAAACAATCACAAAGTATGATAACAGAGGATTGCGAAAGTGTCTTCTTTTCAAAATTCCTAAATTTCGAACACACTTTGTTCTACAATAACTACTTATTCATTAAACTTGCTGATCAGAGAATTTTTTCCTGTTAGTTATTTGATAAGGTAACAATAACCAAAATGCCTGCCCTATATGCTCCACAATATTATTCTGTTAGTTACCTAGTAAATAAGATAAAAGTCACCAATATTCCCGACCTTTACTCCCCCTAGGATCAATTCTCCTGTTAGTTATTTAGTAAGTAACAGTCACCAATATTCCTGGCATTTACTCTCCTAGGATCAATTCTCCTGTTAGTTATTTAGTAAGTAACAGGCACCAAGCTTCCTGACCTTTACTCCCCCTAGGATCAATTATCCTGTTAGTTATTTAGTAACAGTCACCAATATTCCTGGCCTTTACTCCCCCTAGAATCAATTCTCCTGTTAGTTATTTAGTAAGTAACAGTCACCAATATTCCTGGCCTTTACTCTCCTAGGATCAATTCTCCTGTTAGTTATTTAGTAAGTAACAGTCACCAAGCTTCCCGACCTTTACGCCCCATAGAGTCAATTATCCTGATAGTTATTTAGTAGATTAGGTAACAGTCACAAACCTTCCTGGCCTTTACTCCCCATAGAATCAGTTCCCCTGATAGTTATTTAGTAGGTAAGGTAATAGTCACCAAAATGCCTGTCCTTTACGCCTCACAGGATTAATTCTACTGTTAGGTATTAAATAAGCAATGTAATAATCACCAAAATGCCTGGCCTTTACGCCCCACAGGATCAACTCTTCGTCTCCTTGGTCGTCCACATTAATTATTCCTTTCCACTGACCCCACTGTTCATAACGATCGAGAGTATCTGAAATCCTGGAGGGTGAAAAACAAATTAGAGTATTAAACTTTACAGTTAGTTCAACCAAACACACCACTGTGAAGATGCAGAAAAAGCTCCGTACTTTCTCTACCCTGTTAACGAGAGTCCAAGTAAAAACAGATTAAGGGTCCTTGGTGGTGAAAAGGTTAGGAACCGCTGCTCTAGATACTTCTGGCAATTTCCATGGCTCAGTATGGATTTCTCTATAAATAGAACACCTTTTATTCGCAGACATTAATTGTCATGACAGTACGGAAAAAATCCTTGAATTTGCATTATATACTCTAAGGGAAAAAGCTGTACAAACACAGTAGAAAACAACAACAACAAGCATTCCATATATATCTCTACCATTACCTTCGCTTCTGTAGATGTATGAAAATATAAGTTCACAGGTTTGTTTGTTTGTGCCCCCCAAGTGGCACAGCGGTATGTCTGCGGACTGACAATGCTAGAAACCCGGGGTTTCAGCGCTACAAGCTTTCAGACTTACCGCTGAGTCACTGGACAGGGGGCAACTTCAGAGGTCATATAAGGCACTTTTTTTTATTGATGAGCTTACTCCTAAGATGTTTTGCTCAATACAACACAAAAGCAACTACAATATGATTTCTAACACTGTACAGAATTTATGTTGTTGTTTTTTTTTGGGGGGGGGGTTCTCAAATACACCAATTTATGCCTATTTTAAATTTTCTCATATATTATAGTATTAACCATCCAATACACATATAATCAGAAAACACAGGCATGCGAATTTAAATTTCATAAAAGTTGTTTTGGTTTTAATAACGGATTTTCTATAATTCAGCTACGCAGATTTCGAACATAATATTCATTTTTTTCTATCACGTAAGGATTTTTTACAAATCAGGAAGAAAACAAACTCTTATTTAGATCAAATTGTCATTTCGTTTACCACAATGAACATTTTTTACTCTTATGTTTCTTAACAAAAATACAAACAAACTGAAGAAAAGGGAAGAACATTGATGTCAAACGAATATGCGTCCTCATTCATTCTGATTTTTCTTGTGAAATCTACGTCTTTTAGTCTCAAAACTACGTGTTGTGGTCCTTCTTTTATGTATTGAGTCTGGAGCATCTCGTTTCAATGACCAACAGTAATCAGCCATCATGCTGATGTTCCACCTTCCCTGATAACTCCTCTCCATTTCCCTGATGTCTTGATGAAACATTTTCCCTGGTTCTTCACTGACGGCATGGGGATTTTCAGGGAAATAGTCAATATGTGAGTGTAAGAAATGAACTTTGAAGCTCATATTACAACCAAACTCTTTGAATTTATCGAGCTTGTCATTGACAATATTTTCATAATTTGGGTCCTTGTTGGAAGGCCCAAGTCTTTCACCAAATCATTAAGTTCAACTTGTGTGAAAAGTTGTAGCTCACCAGACGTTTCAGGTTGAAAACAACCCCTATCATCATTTCTATTGACATCAGATTCAGAATCGGATGAAACTGTATGAAGAGTCACCTGTGGAGAAGATACAGGTACATCAGGTCCATTAGCAACAGGTCTTATAGAACATTGAAGGTTCGGATACAAAATTTCCTTTTTATTTCGAGTGTTGTAGCCTTGCACGTTACATGAACAAAAATAGCAGTCATCTTTGTGGTTTCTAGGCTCACGTCAGACTATTGGAATTCCAAAAGGTAAAGACTTTTTCTTACATTTAGTCCTTTGTCTCATCTCTTCGACACAAATGGTGCAAACTTTGTGGGAGCCCATGATTTGTCTTGGTCCCCAAGTTTTATTCCAAAATACGCCTATTGTGTTTTTATGACAAAAATCTGTAATGTTTTCCCTTTGTTTCTTTATAACAAATTTACCACAAATATTTTGTTTGTTTGTTTTTAATTATGCACAAAGCTACACAAAGGCTATCTGTGCTCTGCCCACCACGAGTATCGAAACTCCTTATCTAGTATTGTAAGTCCGCATACATACCGCTGTGCCACTGGGGGGCTACCACAAATATAACAGAATATGTATGGGTCATTCACACAACCTCTTGTTGCCATAGCAATGAATAAATAATATTGAAAAAAAAATCATGTCAAAGTGAACGCACAAACAAATACTATCCAGAAATGACACGTCATGTGGCCTGTTAACCGTTTATATACTAGCGGTGTGTTTCTCGCGGGTTCTAGAACGATCGATTAGACTCTCACGTCGCGATTGGTCTAGATAAATCTATAGCCAGTGGTTGTCAACATTTTAAACATAACAAATGTGACCCGATTTCAGTGAAAATTATTCACTTATGTAAAAGTACATATGACGTTTTGTGAGAAATATATACGTGATGGAGAAAAATGGATATAATTTTCAGATTCAGCTTACAGGAAATACGGTAGAACATGCAAAAATGTCAAGAGAATAAAACCATCGTAGGCCTGTTCAATACTTATTAAAGACAACTTACTTATCACAAGTTAGAAATTTCCAGAAAGATTGAGCAGCTGCTTCACTCGTCAGATCAGGCCACATATCCGTCATAAAATCAAAAGGTAAACTTGTTACTGCCCAGCTAGAAACATAAAATAGGAATTTCTGTCTGAATAAGTACTGACAAATTCACTTATTAACATTTTTTGATGTATACTTCATGAAAACTAGAAAAAAAAACGAACTCAATACTTACATAAATGAAAATCTAACGTGAATGTCCTCTTGAGTTTCAGGAAGTCTACTTGACTGTACCTTCCTAAAAACCAAACATAAACACTTGGTTAACAGTAGACATATAGATAGATCAGTTTCTTTTGTTTATAGTTAAACTTGACACTAATGGAATAATTGAAGCAGAATAGTCTCATAAAACAAATTACTATTATAATTTACGTAACTGAACTTATAGACTTTAAATGAGAAATTACACCATTCCCAGAATAAGGTGTTTATTGCCTTGTGACAAAATGCATATATGTACCCTTTTTTTTCTTTAGAAAAATCATTACCATAGTATTTTATATTGTTTGTTATGAATTTCGGGCAAAGCTACATGAGGGCTATCTGCTAAGTTAGCAATGTAAGACTAGAGGAAAGGCAGCTAGTCATCATCACCCATCGCCAACTCTTGGGCTACTCTTTTACCAACGAATAGTGGGATTGACCGTCACATTATAACGCCCCCTGAAAGAGCGAGCATGTTTGGTGGGAAGGGGATTCAAACTCGCGACCCTGAAGACAGTTTTGGGAAAGTGACTGCTCTCCAAAGTAAAAGAAATAAAAAACGATATATGTTATTACCA